TCACCTCCGTGGGCGGCGAGATCGGCCTCCTAGCAGCCACCGGCACGCGGACCGTGAAGATCTACCAGAAGCCGCGGGTCGGGGTCCTCAGCACCGGCGACGAGCTCGTCGAACACGACGACCCGCGCCAGCTCACCGGCGGGCAAATCCGGGACTCGAACCGCCCCTCCCTCCTCTCCTGCCTCACATCCTGGGGATTCCCGACAGTCGACCTGGGCATCGCGCGCGACACCCCGACCGGCGAACTCGAACAACACCTTCGGGATGCTCTCCGCGGCGTCGGGACGGCCGCCACCCGCAGCGTCGATGTGATCATCACCACCGGCGGCGTCTCCATGGGCGAGCTGGACCTCCTCAAACCGACCATCGAACGCTCGCTCGGCGGCACCATCCACTTCGGGCGCGTGTCCATGAAACCCGGCAAACCGACCACCTTCGCCACTGTACCGTTCAAGCCTTCTTCATCCTCGACGGACGCGCAGCAAGAACGCCAGAACAAGCTCATCTTCGCCCTCCCCGGCAACCCGGCGTCGGCGCTGGTCACGCTCAACCTGTTCGTGCTGCCTTCGCTGCACAAGTTGATGGGCATGGGTTACCGACAGAGCGGATCCGGACCCGTGACGCCGTCGTCGTTGGGCCTGCCGCTCGTGTCGGTTGCGCTGGCGCATCCGTTCCCGGCAGACCCCAAGCGCACAGAGTATCACCGGGCGGTGGTGACGGCCTCCCGCTCGGATGGGAGGCTCTATGCCACGAGTACCGGGGTGGATGGCGTGGGTCAGCGAAGTTCGAGGGTCGGCAGTCTTGCCAGTGCGAATGCGCTGGTGGTGCTTCGGCCCGGGAAGGGGAAGGTCGAGAAGGGGGCGTTGGTGGAAGCGTTGATGTTGGGGCCGGTTGTGGCGGAGGTCTGAGTTACCGGTCTCACAGCCTTAATGTGAAAGATTACCTCAAATGTACACATGTATTGCACGACTGCTCTCTTGGCCTGTTTATGGAATTGATAATGTGCCTTCTACACAGGATCACGGGGAACAATATATAGCCACCCGCATCCGCAGCCTGGAGATACCAAGCTACCATCCACAAAATATATTCCGACTCCATTCTATTTGTAGCATAAATACCCAGTGCAAACAGATGAATCAAGATAGCAAGAATACCTCCGAGAAATTCTATCTACCTCCCAACCAAAAGGAAAAAATCAAGGAAAACCGGGGTATCAATCCCAAACTCCACCCTCACTCACAATGCCAGTCCGTCATCCAAACATCCCCTTTCCCTCCCAATTCCCTCCCTCAATCCCAACCAACCAGAACCCCCAAACCCGGAGCAAAAATTTCAACCCAAAAAGAAATCAACCCTTCCCAACCCTCCACCCCTTCTTCTTCTCCGCCCGCAAGACGGGCAACGTGGCCTCCCGTCCCTGCTTCCTTGCAATCTCAATGACCACAAAGCGCACGAAATCCGTCAGCGTCCAGTAACTGCTGTGCGCGCTCAGCATGTTCAGGTACTGGATGTTCAGCGGTCCGCCGCCGCCGGACAGGTAGTAGTCGATCTGCCCGTTGTCGTTGAGCAGCAGCATGCGTTTCTCAGCGATCTCCTCGCGGGTAAAGTCGTGGGTTTCCAGCTCGACCTGCGTGGGGAGTTTGGCCGTGATGACGGCGGCGGGCGGGGGGAGGGTGCTGGGGGCGGTGCCGGATGACCAGCGGAAGACGTTGCCGAAGGAGGACCAGATGGTCGAGGTGGTGGTGGGGATGGAGGCGGGTTTGAGGGAGGCGGCTAGGTCGCTGTCGACGGCTGCGTTGACGCGGTAGGCGATTGCTTTTTTTTTTATCGGCGGGGTCAGTTGTGTGTGTCGGGGAAGGGGGAGGGAGGGTTTGATTGGATTGGATAAGGAGGGGGCTAGGGGACATACGGTCTGTGGTGTGCATGATGTTATAGAGATTGTCGACAGCTAAACAACCGTATATGTCTGCTTCGCCGGCGACGCCGCGGAGTCGGTCGTCGCCTTCGCAACCTGGTTTGTCGCGACCGCGGCGGGGGAGGAGGTTGGCTGCGTTGGTGTAATGGTTAGCTTGGAATCTTGTCTTGTGAATGGAGAGTGTGGGTGAGGAGAAAGCATACCCTTGTTGAGGAACAAGAAAAACCCCGCGGGACTGCCACAGATGAATAGGTTCTTCGTGTCGAATTCAAAAATGTCTCCATGCACGCTGGTCGAGGAGAAATCGAACCTGGGGATTTTGGTGGGTTGATGACTGAGGATGTCCAGAGCCATCGCACTTCCGAGAGAATGTGCGAGTAGATGGACCCGGCCATTCTGCTGGAATCCGGGGTTGTTCTCGCACCACAGGCGGAAGATACGGTTGGCCTCTTTGACGACGGCTTGGATCATTTTGGGCTTGTGATGCGACAGATAGTATGGAATATCCAGCATGACGTCGCTGATCAGGGATCTGACAGCGGGGATGGTCTCCGGAGTGATATCCTTCAGGGAATAGTGATTGGAAGCTGGATCCCCGGCCGCTGGGGACTCGAGATTGGCCTCATCCAGTGACAGTGTTGAGCGCCAATTCACAGGCAAGGCCATGATCCCGCCGTGTCCTGGACGCACGTGTGGCCACACAGGCTCGCTATTCAGCTCCATATTGATGGTCCGGCGGAAGGCATTGATCGCGTGTGTGAAATGAAAACTTTCCATTCGTTCTGATAGCTTCTGGCCTATACCGTGGATGACGAGGACCAGGTCCGTCGGAGCCGGCCGTAGTTCCTCTATCGCGCAGGCATAGCATACCGGTTCTCCGGAGGTGGACATAGCTCGAGTCTGGGTGCTTCGAAGGTAGTTCCTCACTTCTACAGGGTTCGGTTTGCTGGGATGTAGACGGTCCCACAATCGCCGGCTGAAACCGCGAACTACAGGGATCCCAATCTGTCTGCCTTTACGAATCGCACTGAGCGGTCTGCGCCCGCGCGAGACAGACGGAAGAAGACTGGGTCGTAGAATCTGTGCCTCCCGCCAGTCAGCATAGATGACGCTCGAGTTCATGAAGGGCTTGACAGATTCGGAGTGCGCCGGAGTGGCCCCAGCAGCGCGGTTCTCATCGAGGGCGAAAGGCTCGTTGTCAGGGCGCTCTGTTTGCTCCGCCAGATGCGCAGCGGATGGGGTACCATCAGAAGCAGCTGCAGCTGTCGACGGTCGGGTTGGGTCCTCTTTGGGCCAAAGCCGGTGCACTACCTTGAGCTCCGCATCAGCGCCGTTCTCGACACAGCTATTGAGTTCGTCCTGCCATGTTTCAGTCCACGGCTTCAGGTAGAGATACCCATCTTCTAGCTTGTTAGCAAGCTCAGTCTCAACTGGCAACATAGTATTCTTGTAGAACCACGTCGCACGGATGACATTGCTTATGTCGTGCAATGGGCTCCAATATATCGGCTTCATCTATTGAAAAGGTTATAATTTGTAGATCTCACGGATCATGGAAGGCACCATACCTTCAGCTTTGGCAATTCGACAAGGTGAAGCCGGGAAGCCCCGACTGGGATCTTCCACTGTGTTTCGTCAATCTCTACAGATTCCTGAAGTTGTTCGTCCGATCCCTCAAGTGATCCCCTATCGATGCTTGTCCTCAGTCCCGAGCGTTTAGCTGCAGTGTGAGCGGTCGCATCCGTCGGCGATTCTGGAATGGCGTCTCTTGAAGAGTTCGACTCAACGGATCTTCCCAATAGACTCTGCGGCTTGTGAATTGGGGCTCTGAGGAACGGAGAACCGCTGATACTCGCATCTCGCGAAGTGTTGCCCCGGGAGCTGACGCTATCACCACTGTCGAAAGCTACGTCCTCCGTCCGTAGCACCCCGCTGGGTTTGACTCCCGTGGATTCGATATCTTCCCGAAGAAATGGTTCTCTGCCCTTGTAAGTGACCTTGGTCGGTCTCAAGTTCTCCTTTGAGTTGGCGTCAAGCGTACGTGACCTTTTCCGGGCTCCTTCATGCTCCACCCCGGGGCTTCCGAACTCATTTTTGTATCGACCTCTGAAGGTCTTCAATGCCTTGTCATCCAGAGACAGTGGGGCGCCAGTGTTCTGCTTCCCTTGAATGTCTTCCAGGCTGGAGCTCAGGGATACTCCCATCTTCCTCTTCCATTCTGGGCTTATTGTTGGTTCTTGCCCTGGTACCAGTATGCCCGAGTTTCTTTTGGAAGCGCGCCCTTCCTGTGTCTTGGCCTTCGTGACCAAACTTTCTCTTCGGGTCCTTTGTAGTGACTTCCAGGCTTCTTCCAGAGCAGCGTGATCCCGGACCGAGAAAGGTTGGAGCGGCGCCTTCGCATTGGCGGATCCCTGACCGCCACTTGGAGGGGGTAGCGCAGTCAAGGGGTCATCTATCGGTAGCGGAGAGGTGTAGAAGAACTGAGGCCGTACGCTCGGAGGAGATTCGGAGGCGAGCCACGAGGAAGGATCCGAAGTATCGGCTGGCAGGAAACATGAAGGTCCGTAAGTATGGATGGGAGCGGCCATTGTGATGGCAGAAGGCAGGTCCACTATCCCTGTGGGTGCAGCTCGCTTTAAATACAAAGAGACTTAGCGCAGACTAGTCAGAGCAAGCCTTGTAGCAGGCTGTAAGTGAAAAAAGATGAAACGATGTGGCACCGAAGAATTTAGCTTTGGGTGGACGGTCAGTGCAGCGCGCGCTGGAAGGGTCAGCAAGGGAGAATTAAGCACTCAGGAGAGCTTCCAACTGGCAGGTGGCAGGGAATCTGTCTAGACAAGTTCGACGTGTCATAGCGTACAAGGGGGAAATGTCGCCGAATGCATGATGACAAGCATCCCCTGGAATATTGAAGCATTCTCGAGCTATAAGTACTATGGATGGAGGAAAACCGATGGGGGAAAAGAGAAACAACTTTCCAGTTTCTTGGGATGGGCGGAGGAAGAAGAGAGGATGACGTCGACCCCACGTGAAAGAAAACCATCCATCCATCCATCCATCCATGCAAACAACAACCACAACAACCACAACCACCACCGCCGACCGCAACTGCCACCTCATCATCTCGAGTATGACAGCAGTCACGCAGAAGCCACGTTGGTCATTTGAAGTCGTTATTCGTCTGAGCTAGGATCCCCCCGATTATGCAATGACCCTGATCCGCACATGATGGCAATCCGTTCATTCGGCCAAGAATTCCGCGCGTGACGGATGAAAAAGGCGGAGAAATTGATGGATTTTCTAGACTATCATTCGATACGCTTAACAACTCCGTTATCGCAAGGAGACATGAAGACAATAATATTTCCGCGGAAATGAAAGGCAAAAGACATAGATCGAGCCAGTAAGAGCCAGTGTAGGCCCGTTTCTCCCACTGCAGTAAGTATATTCTGGCGACTCAGCCGCGCTTCATCAGCAACAAAGCCTGCATCTGCAACTCCTCAAACTCACGCATCGTATCCAGGGGTGCTCCGAGCATCTCAAGAAGCTTATGGATGTCATACATCTGCTTACGAATCGCGCTGTCCGGGGCGCAGAAAGTGCGAACGCTCATCTCTTTTCCGATCGCTTTCCAGTTGTTCAGGTTCGTTCTCAGCTGGACTGGGTTGGTCGCGCTACATCCGTTGAATTGAACAGTCCGAAGGTTTGACAAGATCAACTGGCGCTGGGTGGCTTGATCATAGTGAAACTCCACGACTCGTGGTCGATTCTTCGCAGCCCAGTAGTTGGTGACCTTGGAAATGGATTCCCCAGAAAGCAGACCTCGATTGTGTTGTTCGACGAGGAACCGGTTGGCAACGACGCAGATCATGACCTCCAATTGCGAGTACAATCTTGCCTGGGTCGGAGCATCCAGCGAAACCGGCACAGTCCGTGCAGGTCCATACCTCTCTGGGATCGGCCCGGAGGAATGGATGCCAAGGTTGACCTTGAAAAGGTCACCGGTCTGTTCAAAGGAGATGTCAGGACATGGTCTTCCATCGGAACGCGGTGGTCTACTTACCAGGTCTTCCACCAGGTCTTCCACATGCATCTTGAATTTTTTCCCCAATCTGCGCAAGCCGAAAGACTTGTGGTTGTCACCCGCCAATTCTCTGAGATCTGCGTTGCTCCCCAGCCAGCCGTTCTCGCCGAAAAGCTTCTTGTGTGACGGCTTGCTTCCGCTCAAGGGGTTACCAACCAGCGAAACACCAGTTAGGTCTGGGGCAGTCGGAGACAGCTGAGGGCTAGGACTGAGCCTCATCAGGACCGTCTGGCTGACTTCGGGCTCGGAGTATGGGTGGTAGCCGATTTGATGTCCACGGCCATTGTGCAGTGTCAAGCCCGGCGCCTCCAGCACACAGACTGTGTCATCAAACTCGGACTGGTGCCTTACGGGCGACGGAGGTGACAGATCTGATTCGATTCCAACGGGAATGTACTCCGACGAGGCGGATGACTGAGCATCGAATGGAACGGCCGTATCACTAGTTGGAGAGCCCGTCCAGAACTTCATGAATGGTTCGTAAAAGGGATTGAGTTTGGCGATGTCGTCGTAAGTCAGGTCCCTATCTCTGACATCAGTCTTTCAGAAACCAGAGCCAGTTGATCTGTGTACTTACTGTGACTGGAACATGGTGTACTGTGGGCGAATCCGGTCGCTTATTTTGAGAATTGTGATCAAGGATATTCGCTAGATGAGATAGTTGAAACCAAGGATTGGAAGACGAGGGCGAGTAGAAGAGACAGCAACATGTGAGTATGTCAAGGAATAAGGTCAAGCAGAAGATAGGAATCTGTTGGAGGGGGAGAACTGGGAGATCAGATACTGGAGGGTATCAGTCATACATATCCTTATTGTTCTATTGTCATCAATAACAAATGTGTTATATAGTGAATGTAATAATATGTAGGACAATGATTATATTACTTCTATAATTTTACTAGCTAAGGTGGGGGAGTCGCCCCACCTAGGCTGGGATAAGGGAATAGCTATTATTGATGGAGGACAATAGTCTGAATAGGCTAAGGTAAGAACACATAAGGTTGAAAATCTGGAGAGTTGCAATTGAGACTGCCTAGTCCTGATTGTTCTGATGCTAAGTAGATGATAGTAATGAGGCTTGTGTTATGATCCTACCGCTGCCTGTGATGGGCCCCAGATTTTTGTTGAACATACACTTCAGGTTGAAGCAATGGATGAGTTAGGACACAGTTCTTGCCTGCCCTACACTTTCTTGTTGTATATGCGAGTCCCGGGAGCTGAGTATTGAGCAACATGATGCAGTGTAGAGCATAATCCTTATCCTCTCCGTTCCCTCCTAAATCATTCAAATATGACGATAGAGCGTTGATCTACCCGCTACATGAGTAAAGTCAGAACAAACCATGTACTATCTATGAGTTAACGCAATTGTCTTGTATGATCTTGAGTCGATAAACCCCGAGACCAAACATCGGATCAGTAATGAAGTGGGGATATCGCCTTTTTTATGATCCTAACTCGGCCAATTATGATTGCTGCTGTATAGCATGGATTGCTAGCACAAACATGCATTACCTGTTGGGTGCCTGAGGCAGGACTGCGAATCGCAGCCTAGCCAGATGGACTCAATACCTGGTACTAGTCGCCAGCTGAGTTAAACATAGTCTATCAGGCACCTGCTATTGGCCCTCCTCCAAAGTACCGGGTATATATCCCATGGGGTCAAGATCTACCGTTGATCTGGGGCCCGAGTCCGTCGGGCCAGAGCTCAAGGCATTGGAGTCGGTAGGCGAGTCCAGGGGAAGCGAATCTCGGAGTAAATTGCCGGGTTGTGGTCGGCAGAGTCGGAGATATCTGCTAGGCAACTGGTTGTGCCCCAAATTGGAAATTATGCCGTGGACGTTCATAACTTTGTGATATGCTGATGCTCCTAATGATGCTGGGGGATCAGCTACAAATCAATTCTGCCTTTGTGATTCTCGTCATAGACAATTCCTGATATAGGGAGCCAGACTGAGCCTCGAAGCGAGGACATTAACCGAATCCCTATATGGAAATTAACTAGGTAGGTACCTTACCTACTCATACTCTTTAGGTTAACTGGGTTTAGTACCTTAACTCCGTGAACGGTTCGGCGTTCGGCACGACTTAAACCAATCAGATCCAAGGGATTGAGAGAGGAAATCCCGGGAGAGGCTGCCGAGGAGCAGCATCACGTGCCGTGGCCTCCACCTGCCGAAGTGCTAGCCGTTCCCAGAGTGCGGAGGCTCGGATCGCAGACCGGCAATCCCAGTGACCTCCCCGCAATCCTCCAATGGTCTTACTCAGGTTGTAAGTTTCAGTGCAGTGTCCCACAATCTTACTCAATTCTCTGAAGGCTAAAGGCCGAAGACCCTCCCCGGCCACAGTGCAGTTCGGTCGCCATTCAACCCCCCCCCCCTTTCCCCCCCAGGCTCCTCCACAATCTAGCCCACACTGAAATGCCGTCCTACAACTCCGTTGCTTGCCGCCTGTATGCAATCCGGTGGGACCTTGTCTTCAGCTTTTCAATCAAATCAATATTATTTATACCTCCCATCATCCTCATGTCGTACAATTGGTTTTTTTTCTTGTATCATCATCAGCTCAACACTCACATCTTATCTCTACCTCTTCATCACTCTCCACTCATTTTTTCTTGTGGCTGATGGTCGTGAATCCTAACCCTTGATATCCGGATTACGCACTCTTCTTATCCTACAACCACTTTACCACACACAGGTTCTCTGTCGCACAGCATCATGACTCAATCGCAAGAAAAGTATGACATCGTCATCGTGGGCGCTGGCCCCGTTGGCATTCTCTTGTCGCTGTGCATGTCTCGTTGGGGCTACAAGGTTAAGCACATCGATAACCGTCCGGTACCTACCGCCACTGGCCGCGCCGACGGAATCCAGCCCCGCTCGACTGAGATCCTCCGCAACCTGGGCTTGAAGCGCCAGATTATGGCCTATGAGCCCGCCAAGGTCTACGATGTCGCTTTCTGGGATCCTCTCCCCGGCGACCAAGGAATCCACCGCACTGGAAGCTGGCCCAGCTGCCCGCGCTTCATCGACACCAGATACCCTTTCACCACCCTCGTCCACCAGGGTAAGATCGAGCGCGTCTTCCTCGACGAGATCCAGAAGGCTGGTACCACCGTCGATAGACCCTGGACCATCGTTGGCTTCAAGAACGACGGTCTGGACGAGACCTACCCCGTCGAGGTCCAGCTGAAGTGCATCGACACCAATGTCATCAAGACCGTCCGCAGCAAGTACCTCTTCAGTGGTGAAGGTGCTCGCAGCTTTGTCAGACAGGAGCTGGGCATCCAGATCCACCACAAGGATCCGATTTCCTACGTCTGGGGTGTCATGGATGGTGTCGTGAGAACTAACTTCCCTGATATCGAGGTAAGCTGTCGCATCACATCCGAGCCGCGGAAAATGGCATTTGCTAACATGGCATCGCAATCTTCAGACCAAGTGCACAATCCACTCCGATGCCGGTTCTATCATGGTTATCCCCCGTGAAGACAATATGGTTCGCCTCTACGTCCAGATCGCCTCGTCGACCGATCCCGATTTCAACCCCCGCAAGACTGCCACCGCCGAGGAAGTGCAGGAGACCGCGAAGAAGATCTTGAAGCCCTACTGGGTGGAGTGGGACCGCGTGGAATGGTACTCTGTCTACCCTATCGGTCAGGGTATCTCGGAACGGTACACCTTGGACGAGCGGGTGTTCATGGGCGGTGATGCCTGCCACACTCACAGCCCCAAGGCCGGCCAGGGCATGAACACGGCCTTCCACGATGCGCTTAACATGGCTTGGAAGATCCACGCCGTTGAGTCCGGACTGGCTAAGCGCGAGATCCTCAAGACGTATGAGAGCGAGCGCAAGGACATCGCCGAGACTCTCCTGAGCTTCGATAACAAGTACGCTGCCTTGTTCTCCAAGCGTCGCCCTACTGCTGGCGAAGTCGGCGAGGCCAGCCACAACGCCGCTGCGGCCAATGCCGAGGAGGATCCCTTCGTCAAGACTTTCAAGGAGTCTTGCGAGTTCACCAGTGGCTATGGCGTTGCTTACAAGTCCAATGTCTTCACCTGGGACGAGACTCACCCCGCCCAGTCTCCTCTCTTCAACATCCCTGGCGTGAAGCTGACCCCTGGTCGTGCTTTCACTCCCAGCACCGTCACCCGCTTGGCGGATGCCAACTTCGTGGAGTTGGAACAAGAGATCCCCGCCAACGGTGCCTTCCGTATCTTCGTCTTCGCCGGTAAGCAGGCCAAGACCAACAAGGCCATCGCGGACTTCGCCGCCAACCTGGAGAAGGAGCGCTCTTTCCTGTCGGTGTACCGCAGAAGCGACATCGCCGATGTTTCCTTCTTCGAGCGCCACCTCCCTCACTCCAAGCTCTTCTCCCTGTGTGTGATCTATGCCGACGAGAAGAACAAGGTCGACATGGCGGCTGTGCCCAAGATCCTGCGGGATTACCACCACCACATCTACGCCGACGACCTTCCCGACGTCCGGGTTCCTCACGCCAAGTTTGCCGCTCACGAAAAGCTTGGATTTGACCCCGAGGTCGGTGGTGTTGTCGTCACTCGTCCTGACAGCCACATTGCCTGCACTGTCCAATTGGTGGAGGGCAGTGGCACGGTTGACGCCCTCAATGCCTTCTTTGGCGCCTTTACCACGAAGCCGCTGGGTCAGGACCAGCAGGCTAGCCGGCTGTAAGGATATGATTTTCGAATAAGATGTCTGTAATTTATCCTCGGAGATCGGCCTCCCGATTTGGGGTCTGATGTAAATAGTTTTCTCGTTTGTTTTTGCAGTTTCGGGTTTGCTATTGCAGCGGTTGCGACCTGGCATGTTTTGGCGTTGTTGTATATATCCCGAGAAATTCCATTCTCAGTTTTTTTTTCCCCCAAGATACTCAGAGCAAACGTAGGCAAATGATTGTATGCGATTGTCAACCAGGAGGCCAGCGACGAGAAAAATGATGTCAAGGCGGCGAAGGCGGCAGCATCGTCTGCCGAAGTGTGGCCCCGCACCAGACCTGTATGACTTCGTCGTCCTTCCCCAGCGATCTGCCCAACACAGCACAAACAACACAACCAGGAACATCCAACAAAATGCTGTCCTTGATTCTCTCCGCAGAACTCAACGGGTAAGTTAGTGATTCGATCTTCCACACCAAGGCCGCCTGCGGGTCTCGCCCTCAAGGTTCTCATGCCTTTTTTTTTTCTGCCACTCTGCATGACTTAAGCCTCTTCCCCGCACCTGACGCAACACAGCACTTTGTTTATGCATGCGTCAACATGGCCTAAACCGTAGCAGCTAACTCACGTAAAACCACAGAGTCAACGAGCTCCGTCCCAAGGATACCGAGGAGGAGCCTTACTACTACACCTTCAAGGTCCAATGCACGGGCTGCCGTGAGGTTCACCCCAACCCGGTCAGCTTCACCCGCTTCGTAAGTCCATCCCCAACTTCTTCAAGGGAAAAAATAGCACCCGCTCACAGGACGATCAGGAGCAGCACGAAATCCCCGGGAGCCGGGGCGAGGCCAACTTTGTGTGGAAATGCAAGCTCTGCCAGGTGAGGATCCTTGCTTGCCTTCCGCCGTTCACGACCTCCGAAAGGATCACTAATCTGCCTGTGCTCCTACGCAAAAGAAAACTCACTCTGCCTCCATCATCGCGGGGCCCAAGGCCTACGAGGCGAATGACAAGCGCACCGGCCAGAAGGTGATCGACATCGACTGCCGCGGTCTGGAGTTTACCGAGTTCAAGGCCGATGTAAGTGTCCGCCAGTCTTTGGCCCTTGTCTGTTGTCTATTATCTCTCGGGGAGGTTCTAAGTTGGGAAAAGCTAATGCGATTGACTACCAGGGCGAGTGGCTGGCGAAGGGTGTCGAGTCGAACACTCCGTTCACCGACATTGATTTGTCCGAGGAGTGGTATGACTACGACGAGAAGGCCGGCGATGAGGTCTCCATCAAGGAGATCTCCTGGACGGTGGGAAGATCTTAGAGGACTTTTACGACCTTGATTGGGGGGGAATCATAGGTTTTTCTGTTCTCTCGTGTACATTTGCGGCGTTTTAGCTGTGCTCAACGTAATATTTGACATTCGGTGTCGTCATGCCCGTATTTTCTGCGATGCTTGACTTATAGTCAGTGATCGTACGGCATTAATAATAAAAGCTATGCTTGCCACTTGATGCCTATAAATATGTACTAACTCTTTACCAAGCTTCACAGCCTGGAGGGAGGATTAAGCAGCAGAACTTGAAGGTTGGAAGCGATACTGCGATGCCCGGGAAAGCGGTGAGCGTGTCTAGCTCTCTGATTGGCTCCGACAGCCGCATCACATTTTCGCGGTGTCTCCAGCCCGGCGGCCGTCAACTTGGCGACACCGCGATCAGTCGCTCGACATCTTCACCTCCCAATCCTCCGGAACATTCAACCAACCTCGTCCTCGACCTCTCACCGGGACCCTTGCATTTCTTCTCCGCGCTGAGATACATTTTTTTCTGCCGCGAGACTTCACACCCCGGTCCGCCGTCTCAATCCCGAGCTTGTCAAACAGCTAGCATCCGATCAGATTCCGCCGATATGAGTGTACGCAGCGCGTTCCTTTCCCCCAAAGCTCTCCCCTATCACCCTCAAGAAGAGCCAGTCTCATTGAAACGCAGTGCTGACTTTTGTGTCTACAGTTCAACCCCGTCAACCCCCGCCCTTTCCTCCAAGCTAGGTATGCGAGTCCCCGTCGACCGTCTTTCCGTCTCGAGCTCCCCCCCCCACCTACTCTTCGCATCAACCGCGCAAGCTTTTTCTCTTTCATTTCGAAAAATTACCCCACTTGAGTGATGCAGGGTCTAACCATTTGTTCCTGGACATAGGGTCGGCGAAGAGGTCGTCATCCGCCTGAAATGGGGCCAAACGGAGTACAAGGGCAAGCTGGAGAGCATCGACTCGTACATGAACGTGCTGCTGCGGGATACGGAAGAGTTCATTGACGGCAAGAACACGGGAACTCTGGGTCTGGTGCTGATCAGGTGCGTATGAGCTGTTGCTTGGACTCGGGAGGAGTTAATCCCTTGGACGGCGACACCCTCGAACCCACACCAACCAAAGCAGTCCTCTTCTCCAACAGTCACTAACCTTCTACCACTCAATCTAGATGCAACAATATCCTCTGGATGGGCTCCGCCGACAACGTCGAGATGACGGACCTCGGCCTACGGTAAGATATAGACGCGGGCGGGCGGTGGTTCTTTCCCATCAATCCATCCGAATCCGTTGATACCTACCTACCTACCACAAGGGGGAACGCGATCCGATCCTTTTCTTTCCCATTTTACATATACCAAACCAGAATCGAAAGATCTTCACCTGATGGGAACAAGGCATACAAACTATGCACCTGTCTGAACGCAGACCGCAAACAAAGACGTTGATGGACTTTGGGAGGAAGGATAAGGCAGGGATAAAAGGGTTGATCGCGTGGAGGTTCGTCGGATGGGATGGGCGTTGAAGAAGCGAGGGGGGTTTCACCCAATACTTTTGCATTTACGTTATTTGTCTTTCTATTTCTCTTCTGGAATAAGGCGTTCGATTGAATATCATTTTTCGCTTTTGATGGTGACTGTTTTGGCAGAGTTTGTGGGCTCACTACGGGGCGAGATTGTGCAGAGCTTTGCTGATGTGTTTGATGGCTTGTCTGATGTCTGGCTTTGAAGGTAGAGGCATGGGATGGCCATCTGTGTCAGTAGTGAGGATGCCTCGGGCCGTTGCTTGGTCATAGTGGGTGGGTAGTTCAGCTACCATGGCTCTCGGTGTTTCTGTTGCCTTGACGGCATCAATCCCAGGGCAGATGAAGCAGTCAATATGATTGTGACACGCATGCTCCGATCTGGTTGAATGCATGCCATGGACCATGGACGCGGTAGTTCGCACTAGTATTCGCTCTTCAGGAACTCGAAACGGGCCATAAGCAGCAGCTGTTATGCATGACTTTGTCTTCAGTGCAGTGCACTTACACGCGGATGCTCCACATATTGCAGGAGAAAGAATTGGCTCAGGACAGCTTGTCACGAGACCTTCTTTGCAGTGTATCAAAAACCAGTCCAGTAGACTGTTAGTGGAGAACATCTTGCTCAACTATGTACACTCACTACAGCAGTAAGGATACTAGGTACGATCATTCAGCCTCTCGAGTCTCTTCTATCGAGACCTTTTAGTGACTGGATTTCCCACCCACTCGCTTCCTCTGCGAAGCTTGCTGATTTCTCCCCACATTTGATATCCTGCGCATAGTGTCGCATCGATGGTCCCAGTTTCGACAGGCAACCGTCGTGAATGATGAGACTTCGACAAACGAACAGTAACTACTGGTCCTGATGCTGGTCCTTTATCGTGCCTTATTGAGCTCTGCTACGACTGAGGTGATCAGTAGTACTTTTAGCGATGGGTAGTGTATGAAATACTGATAGCGATGATAGAAATGAGACCGCAACATGAAGCGTTGATCTGCATGATTAACACCGCTCTCCCGTTGGTCAGCCGAATCATTTGTGCTTTCAAAGCACGAGCACGGCTTTTCAGAGCCCGTAGGTCTGCATTGACTTTGTTGGAGACCTGATGCACCTTACACAGGGCGGCCAAACGAGGGGCAGAATGCGATTTCTCCCCGCATCGGCTCTGGTTCGGGATCTTCTTGATACTTCCTTCAACTTTATGAACTGTCCCTGCCTGATAACATCACCAATATGGAGAATAGCGCGGGAGAGAAAAGACCAAAGTCCCTTGTCTTACCTCGCAGTGACCCGTTAACCACCTCCATCCGCATCACTTCCTCATCCCCCGCGCCCGTTGGAAGCCTGTGCTCATCAGGACTCCACCAAGCCTTCCCTGGCGTCCTGCGGTGGCGACAGCGGATAGAAGGCCGTCGGGTAATTAGAACTACTGCGAGGCTCGAGCCCTTCTCGCTGAGCGCGGGTTGCCGATATTCGAACAGCCTCGTCTCGGTTGTCCTACTCGCTTGGGAAAGGTTGTCTCTCCAGGCACTCCACCGCAGCAAGCCATCATCATCATGCATAATTATGCAGCGGGAGCTCTGCAGTAGGAGCAACAGTGCCTTGTGTTTTGTGGCCGGAACAGACGACTCTGTGCGCCTACCCTACATGGACCAGAAAAAGGCCTTTTTACGGAACTCTTCTCGATCACTGGAACCATGGATGCAGCAGGTCAACCGATCCCCAATGACGATCCACCCAGCCCTTCAGGCTCTCCTCCGCCCTTTCCGCTCGCAGGCCCGCAATGGATCGCCTGGTTTTATCTCCATATGGTAAAGTTTGAACTGAAGAGATTGTGGAACTCCACGAGAAAAAAAAAAGTGGAAAAATTCAATCAATCACCGCCGCTATCTTAGGTTATCAGCGTGCGGCGGCGACCTCCTTTAAAATGGCCCAGGCCTCCGGTGGATGTCCCTTATGCTGCTTCTTGCCAGACCGGGGGGTTTGTTCTGCTCTTAGCCTAGCAATTGATTTTGCTCGCTCACCATGACTTTCGTACTTCCCAATGATATACTCCTCCTGGTTGGGGAGTTTGTGGAAGATCACCGCGACCGCTACAATCTCCTCTTTGTATCCCGTCAATTCCACGAGTTGTTTCGACGCTTGCTCTATCGAACTGCTAGTCTGAAGAGCTGCGCTCAACTACATTCTTTCCTAGAAGCGCTGCTCCGTCGTCCCGAGCTGGCTCGGGCTGTTCGCTCATTGGACTTTCATGACTGGCAGTCCCGAACGGAGTACTCCTCTACTCCGTTTGCCGATACAGATTTAACACCCTTCATGAACTTGTCTGGAGGCTTCAGCCATTCCGAAGAGGAACAAGAACGATGGTCTCAGGACCTCGCGAACGGAGTCGAGGAAGCCTGGATTGCGCTTCTCCTGCCCCTGGTGGGTAACCTCAGACAACTTCGACTGGTCTATCCGAAGAACAACATCTACCTGGATCGCATGATGCAGAGAGCTGTGAAGGGAGAGAGGCCATTCCACGTTCAACCTGCCTTCCGTGTGCTGCGGAATGCATCTCTCAGCCATTTGCCAGATGACGAGGATAGCCGAGGGAGCTTCATGCCTTCACAAATCCTCCCATTCTTTCAATTACCATCGATGCGGACCTTTACCGCCGACTCTGTTGTTGAAACTACGCGGTCAGAAGAAAGCGAGTCGGAGACCGCAGACCCTGAGTACGAACCTGTAGTCGGCTCCTCATCCATCTCCGAGATTACTCTCCGCACGAGCAGTGGTTCCAAGGGCATGGAGAGCCTGATCACCTCCTGCTCTTCTCTGAAGTCGTTCAAGTACCAGCACTCCGACTCACACCTTCTCTCGGAGGGTTACCGACCTTCTTCATTCTACCGGTCGCTGGATACGAGCAAACATTGTTTGCAAAGTCTCTGGCTTGACCATGGGGGCACCCATCTGCCCTTCACCGTCGCCGGGGCAAACGAGACACATGATGAATGGTTTGGTCCGTTGACCGAGTACACCTCGCTCAAGGAACTCCGCATCCGCCTGCCTAATCTGCTCGACATTCGCTACCAGCTGGACCCATCGTGTCCCCTCACCGATATCCTCCCGCCATCCCTGGAAGCCTTGTATGTGGAAGGATGCAAAGAGAATTCGCTGCCCATGCTGGTGGGACAGCTCGAGTCGGTCCTCCAGAAACGCAAGACCCAATTCACCAGCCTGAAGCGACTCGATATTGAGGGCTTCTTCCACGACGAGGAGGATGAAGAGGCGTCTGGCTACCAGGCGTCCGACTCCATGGGCGAGCGATTTATCCGGCCACGGGTGTATGAGATGGCTGAACCGCTGCGCGAGGTCTGCGTCGACGTCGGAATCGACCTCTACCTGCGCGACCGCGACTGCCTGGAGACGATGCGAGACTGTTAGTGATGACGTCACCACTTGTTGATTTGCGACCGATACACCGTTAGATTGCATTGCTTCGAGGAATACCCCCTAGATGATGTTTTTTTTTTTTTTGTTTTCTTTTTCTTATTTTCGGGTTTACTTTCTGGCAGTTGATTTGAGCTTGGATTTCTAGCGCTGTTTTGGAAGCTTTTTTGAACCATATTGTGATACCTTTTGGGCAACGAAAGAACGCTTAGATGGCAGACCGAGCTTTGTGCTCCGGCATTTGGACCCCGAATTGTCCCATACTCAGTACAAATGAAGACCTTCTTGTGAAGAATTTTGTATGTCATCTTCTGTACAATTCGCTTACCGTAGCCTGACAAGCTCGCCAAGACGGGATTGTCCTTGAAAGACGAGGCAGATCGTGTTGTTGCTTAAGGGAAAGCCACCTGTCGATCTTGCCCTCCAAATCCGCGAGCCCGCGGGTTGGATACATTAACAGAATTAACAGAACCTCCCTCATCCACCGACTCGGCTTACCGGCTGACGCATACAGCTTGCTTGACTGAAGAAAGTCATGGCCATCCGAAAGAAACAATCAACTAATGGTAGTGCAACCTTGAGATGACATACGGTATTTAGGCAGGCAATATTCGTTCAACTCTCCAGGTACGTCTACTACAGTTACTCACGAACCGGGCGTCGATACTGACGAGATCAGGGTTGGGTAAGGAGAAGGTGTCCTATCAGCGAGCGCAGCTCGTCTCCCATGATTCATAAACACCGATGCGAGCATACTCTCAATCAATCACTGGGGTATACTGGTCCATTCACGCCCAAACGTGGCTATGATGCAGCCAGTCGCGTTCTGGAACAAGACCAGGTCCGGATAACCGGCACTCCACCGTCTCGACCACCAATGAATCAGCAACTCGATTCACAAACACAACACAACACAGCTCAGGCACTGCACTGCGCTGCTCTGCACCTGGGGGTACCTGAATGATGTCAAAGCCGGGTCATTGCTTACACACACATGTGTTTACCCGGTTCACAATGCTTCTTTGCACCCACCGTCGCGTGGCTTTGTTCGGTGTCAACATTGGGGACCATTGCTTGCCACCCGCAGCCGATACCCGATCTGTTATGACGTTTCTCTGCCCCTCCAACGAGGCTCACAATCCTGAGGGATGGTTTTACATGAGGAGAGCCGGGGTGTACTTAAGAACAGAGACGAGGCACACATCATGCAACACATCTGACTCTTTCAGGCCACATCGTTGCAGCACTGGCCATGGTGGAAAGAACCGCAACCGCACCCGCACACGCACCCGCACCGACCTACCCCCCGTCTCCGTCCCCGGAGCGGTCGGAGCATCGGCCGAGCCACTCGAGCGCGTCCAGTACCGTGGTGCATGATGATGTCGAGAAACAGAATGTAGAGCCTTCGGCCGAGGCTGGGAAAGATCCGAACATCGTGGACTGGGACGGGCCGGATGATCCGGTATGTTATTGTCTTGTTGTGTCGAACTTCTCTGGCGTTCTGGAGAGAGTTCTGACGAATCGAATTCAGGAATATCCCCCCAATTGGTCGGAACTCCGCAAATGGACCATCACGATCATTCTGGGTCTGATGACCGTCTCCGTGACATTCGCCTCGTCCGTCTTCAGCGCCGCGGCGGCGGTCACGGCGGAGCAATTCGGGGTGTCCGAGGAAGTGATGATCCTGGGGACCAGCCTGTTCGTGCTGGGGTACAGCTTCGGCCCGCTAGCGTTTGGCCCGCTGTCCGAACTGTACGGGCGCAAGGCCCCGCTGTTCGTGGGCTTCTTCATCTTCGCCATCTTCCAAATCCCCGTGGCAGTGGCCCAGAACCTGCAGACGATCTTCGTGTGCCGGTTTCTGGGGGGGTTGTTCGCCAGCGCCCCGCTGGCCATCGTGGGCGGCATGCTGGCCGATTTCTTCGATCCGGTGGAGCGCGGCATCGCCATGGCCGTCTTCGCGGGCAGCACGTTCGTGGGCCCCGTGGCGGGCCCCATCGTCGGCGGGTTCATCACCATGTCGCATCTCGGGTGGCGCTGGACCGAGTACATCACCGCGATCATGGCCTTCTTTTTTGGCGGTGTGGGCTTCCTGATGGTGCCCGAGACCTTCGCGCCGGTGCTGCTGCAGCGCCGCGCGCGGCGGCGGCGCCACGAGACGCGCAACTGGGCGCTGCATGCGCGCGCGGAGGAAGAGCCGGTCGATCTGAGGAGTATCGCGCACCGGTACCTCGTGCGGCCGATCCACATGCTGTTCCTCGAGCCGATCCTGCTGCTGATCACGCTGTACATGGGCTTTATCTATGGGTTCCTGTATCTGTGCTTCGAGGCCTATCCGATCGCCTTCCAGGAGATGCGCGGGTGGAATGAGGGCGTCGGGGCGTTGCCGTTCGTCGCGGTGACGTGCGGCGTCCTGGTCGGGTGCGGGATCATTATCACATTTACGAAGACCCGGTTCCAGGCCGTCCTCCGCCGCAAGGGGCATATTGTCCCCGAAGAGCGGCTGATTCCCATGATGATCGGGGGGGTGTTGTTGCCGGCGGGCATGTTCTGGTTCGGGTGGACGTCCAATCCGTCGATCTCCTGGGTGCCCCAGGCCATTTCGGGGGGCTTCCTGGGCGCGGGGATCTTGTTGATTTTCATGCAGGTATGGCATCTGTCTCCTTGCCCGTGGTATTCGCGCGTCAATCAACTAATGGCATGCGCGGTTAGGGCCTGAATTATATCATCGACTGCTACGGCGTCAACTCCAACTCGGCCATCGCAGCCAACTGCTTCTTCCGGTCGGGGCTTGGGGCGGGGTTTCCCATGTTTGCGTTGCCCATGGTACGTTGCGTTCTCACTCTTCACGCATGAACTGAGCTGACTTGGGGATAGTTCCACAACCTGGGGGTCAACTGGGCGATGACGCTGCTGGGATGCTTGACGGCCATCTTGTTCCCGGTGCCGATTCTGTTCTATATCTTTGGGAAGCGGATCCGGTCGTGGAGTCGGTTTAGTCCGAGTGAAGCGTAGTGAGGACTGGTGATGGCGGGTTCTTGTTCTTGTATATATTGGCTGGAATGTGCACGTAGGGATTTTGATGAGAGTATGATTGATTTTCTTTGCCTCCAATTTTGTCAGATTGTCTGTGGTTGTCCCAGACGGAGCACTTGTGCCTGGCTTTGCTTTCACCTTAGACCCATAGCTCTGCCAAACGTCTGTTGATAGCATGGAAGTATTCATTATCCTGGTTGAAGATATCCCAGCCACCACCTCTAGACCTCGAGAATCCATCAACTTGAAGTGACTTGCACAGTGCTCTACCACAAGCTGCCGTGTGCTGCACAGCTCAGGGCATGACACGAATCCCAGTCCGCAGATTATAGACAGCCCCGCCTCACCCAGCATAAAACCTATACTGTACAGCTAATGTGAGCCTATAAGCCCAACAGCAGTATCACCGAAGCCGATGCTCCGCTGGCAACTCCACCGGCATCCCCACCGCACCTCTCCCCCGCCCCTCCAACTCATTCGTATAAGTCACATCCGCCTGCCCAATCTCCACCGGCACTTTCCTCGACTGCCCGATCTCGACCGCAAACGGTGGTCCACCTGGTCCAGGAGTCGCAGCCGCCATCTCCACGGGGCCCTGCCCCTGCCCCAGCCCCAGACCCAGAGAACTCCCATCCCCATCCCCATCCCCATCCGCAACCCCCTTACCCGGCACCACAGCCGTATACCTCCTCCCCGTCTTCCTGCGCCTGCAGAACCAAGCCCCCAACCCCAGCACGACCAGCAAAACCCCCACCGCCGCACCGACACTGATTCCCGCGATGGCGCCTTTCCCCAGCCCTTCTACCTGGGCCGTACTACACCGCCCAAACTCCGGCTGACAGCCGACCCCACAGTAACTGGCATTCCCACCGCACCAGCCATGGCCGGAGCAGCAGTCGCCCCATTCACTCCCGAGACAGGTGACTGCCTTGCTGCAGGATCCGTCCGTGGAGATCGCTTGCGTGGCTGTGCCCGTTGCCCCGATCCCCGTGCTGGTCCTCGTCGTCGTCGTCGCCGTACCCCCCGTCGTCGACGCCCCGCTGCTGATCCTGCAACTCCCATACAACGACTGACACCCCACCCCACAATAACTACTATTCCCGCCGCAGTACCCCAGCCCCGAGCAGCAGTCGCCGTACGCGCTCCCCAGACACGTGGTGTTGCTGGTGGCCGTCTCGCCGCAGGAGCCCGTGCTGCTGATCTCTTGGACGGACGCGTCGTGGCATTTGCCGTACCCCGGCTGGCAGCCCGCGCCGCAGTAGGCGCTGGTCGAGCCGCAGTAGCCTTTGGCCGAGCAGCAGTTGCCGTAGGTCGAGGTCAGGCAGGTTGCGTTGTTGGCGCTGTTGGCGCTGCAGTTGCCGTCTGTGCTGGTGGGGTTCATTCTGGGGGGGACGGGGTTAGGGTTGGTTTGTTTGGGTTTGTGGTGTATAGGGTAGTGGAGTGGTGTAGGCCCTAATTGATGGGCATGGGGTGGGGGTCTCAAGGTCAAGTATTAGAGAGCCATCATCCCTGGGATCAAGAATCGGTTAGAATAGAGAAAAGAAAAAATAAAATAAAAACAAAGGGAGTATGGAAGTGGAAATTTGATTTTAAGAGGAAAGTTATGTGCAGGAAGGCGATGGGGGGGGGGGGGGGGGGGCAGCGGAGCACTTAAGTCTTCAGGGCTCCGAGATTCAGGGTCAGGGTCAGGGTCAGGGTCTAAGGGTTCTCCTATAATTCCTGCACCTTTAGCCCCTAGACTAACTCCCAGACGTGAAGATACATTAGCGCTGTCCAGCCCATGTGGTCGTACAGTACATGTACACTCCAGCCTATCAGCCGGTCCAGCACGGCCAAGCCCAAAGCCAAGCGCCAAGTAAGACATGTTCACTGACAAATTACGATATTGACATGCGAGCGAGGCGCAGTGGGGCGCAACTTTGGGGGCCAGATTCTGTGCACGATTTCGCGCGTGGTCCGCGTGGGCACTGAGACAGTCGGACAGTCTGACAGACAGCTGAAACTGGTTGGGATGGGGATTTACCCGTCAATAGTCTGACTCAAGTTGCTCCCTGGATTCCCTGGGATTTGACTCACCCACCTGCTGCACAAAGCGTTGGCTTTGTGTCAGTTGGACCGATGGCTGTGCCTTCAGGGCTAGACTAGCGGCAGGGGCCCAAGCCATTAGACTATTGCGCGCGTGGGGCCTGGGCGGGCCGGGTTTTAGATTAAGGAGGATCCATGAAACTTAATTTGGGATTGTTGTTACAGCTTACAGCCTGGAGGAGGATTGAGGGGGGTTGATTGGGTTTGGTTTGGTGTAGTTGCTGGGTGGTTGACTGGTGTTGGTCTGCAGGCTACATGGGCTCATACGAGGGTGATTTACGAAAGCTGTCACATGATTAGGTTGCGTTGAAGAGCTGCGTCTCCTTATACTTGATATTGTGAGACATCCTGGCAGGGCGTCTGTCTTTCCCTTCATGTCTATATCCTATCTCTTCACCAGGCCGGGCTACGTCGAGATATCTCAGTGTCTCCACTATCACCGCGGCGCATCCCGCTTGCGCGCCTCCTGCGGCTCCGGCAACCCTCGCGCCGCGACCGACAGCCCCAGCGCCAGCACGACCATCAACACCCAGATCGCATACCCGCCCGCCAACTGCGACCGGGCGCCCAGGGCAAACAGCGTCGTAAACAGCGCCGGGTTGAACGCGCGCAGCCCGCTGACCCCGGTCAACGCGAGCGCGTTCAGCGTGCCCAGCACGCGCGGGGACGGGGCGATGTCGTTCAGCGCGAGCTGGATGGCCGTGAAGCTCATGCTGACGCCGCAGCCCAGCACCAGGGTGATGGGGACGAAGACCCAGAAGACCGTGACGGCGGCGTCGGTGCCGACGCGCAGGAGCACGTTGCCCGCCGGGCAGGCCAGGAAGAAGAACGGGTAGGCGTAGGCGCACAGCCGGATGACCCCGTTGGAGCCGAGGCGCTTCTGCAGCGGCGGGAAGACCAGCAGCAGCCAGGCCGCCTGCGCGGCGCCGTTCAGCCCCATCAGCAGCGAGATCTGGCGCGGCGTGAAGCCGTACCCGCCCAGCCGGGGCGGCGTGAACCAGAACACCGGGACGATCGCCGTGTACGCGAACGCCAGCACCATGATGTGCCCGTACGTGTAGATGACCACCCCCACCCCGGGGGCTTGGAGCAGGTCCCACGTCGAGAGCTCCGCGCGGATGATGGCGCGGCCGGCCGACTCGCCGGCTTCCTCACGGTCGGCGGAGGCCGGGGGTTCCCTCGGGAGGGTTTCCTGCACGAAGAGCGCGCTGGAGATCGCCGCGGTCGCGCCGACCATCGCCACCACCAGGCTCGACAGCGCGTACGGGTAGTCGGCGAAGAAGCGCACCGACCCGAAGACCCCCGGGTACTGGCGGACGGGATCGGCCAGGCTCCCGCCCAGCAGGGGCCCCAGGAAGATACCCAGGTTGCCGCTGAAGGCGAACCAGCTGAAGGCGCGGGCCTGCGTCTGGCGCGTGCTGTGCTCGGCCACCATGGTGCGGATGGTGACGATGGTGCCCGCGAAGACGCCCGCCAGGCACCGGAAGAGGATCATCTGCGGGATCGTCTGGGCCAGCCCAAAGAGGCCCGTCGCCACCGTCACGCCGAACAGGGAGAAGACCAGCACGGGTTTCCGGCCGAAGCGGTCGGCCGCCCGGCCCCAGAAGATCATGATGATGGCCTGCGTGAGCGAGAAGAGGGACTCGATGAGCCCGCTGTAGAAGCCGACGTCGGCGTCGGCCACGCCCCCGTTGTCTTGCACCATCTGGCTGACGTAGGGGAAGATCGAGAAGAAGGCGAGCGGCTCGATGACCCGGGCGTAGCACAGCAGGAGAATCTGGGCCTGGGGCAAAGGCTTATCTTCCTCTTGGTCCGGCTCGGCGTCGGTACGGCTGCTGGGCGGGAGAAGAGCCGTGGTCTCATCCACGCGATCCTCTCTTTCTGTGTCATGATTCCCGGCACGCCGGATGGACCGGGGAGGAGATGATGTCGCGGCGACCATCGATGACGGGATGGTACTCGGATGTTTGATTATGCTTATGGGTTGGTTGTGGAGAGAGATTTATTATTGTTTGGTGCCAGAATGCAAGGATAGCCGGCTGGACGGTTGATCCGGTCCGACAACGGAGATAAGCGGTGGACGGTAGGCGATAAGCGATAAGCGATAAACGATAAACGATAAGGAATATAAGTCAAGCAGTAGGAATGAATTTTATGGAATCCCGGTAAGAACAAGCAGCACAAAGTCAAGAACTGTAGCTTTAATCATCATCAAGGATCAAGGCTTATTGGTACCCTTGGTATCAGCCCCATCAGCACTACTGACATCAACACCAGCAGCACCAGCAGCACCAGCAGCAGCATCAGCAGCCTTTGCCCCCGCAGTCTTGTACGCCGCATCAATGGCCTCGGCAATCGCCAAACATCGGACGTGATCTATCCCGGAAAGCAAATTGACGGGCTTGAACTCCGGGAGGCGCGGAGGCTCCTTCTGCGGCGGCTCGATGGCGCAACTGATCAGCGACCCGAGGTCCGGCGTAAAGGAGGGGTCGTTCTCGACCATCCGGGTCCACTGCGCGATGAGCGGTTCGTCCGCGATCCAGTCCAAGGTCTTGCGGCCCCGGAACTCGTAGCGGTAGATCGTGCGCGGGGGCTCGCCCTTGGGGAAGGTGGCATCCTGGACGGGCGGGCGCAGCGCCGGCACCTCCCCGACCACCTCACGGTACAGCTGCGTCTCGGTCCCCGCGCGCACGACGCCGTACGCGGGCTTCGTCGTCTGGAAGGTCCAGTGCACGGCCGGCAGCCCGAACCAGACCAGCATCCCCAGGCACTCCGCCTCCCAGCTCTCGCCGGGCAGCCGCAGGACCTGCGGGATCAGGTACTGGACCATCGTGCCCACGCACCGGGTCTGGCGGCAGGGGCCCATGATGTACCACGTGGCGTGCGAGAACTCTTCGTGCTTCCCGTGGGCCGAGAATGGGGTATCCGGGCCCACCGGGACGGGCGTGAGTGTCCATCCGTCGGGGAGGTTCGCGGCCTCGGGTGGGATGGTCATTGCCATTGTGTTGGGGGTGGTTGCTTGGTGGATCTTGCGAGGGAGTGGTGCGTGTAGGAGTCTGAGTTGCTGTCACTGAGACTGATGTTGTGGCAAGGGATGCCCATGGTTGAGAGGCTGTATGAGGTATATTTATAACCTTGCTGAGGGCATGGAGGTTGGATCTGTGAGCTTTTGTTCCATACAACAAAGCAACTGGATTCTCTCAGTATACCCCCAAGATCGCATTGTTGACGGTGTTAATGTGGGTTGATGGTGAGGAGTTACTGCTAGTAATTAAAGCACAGTCTTTATCTATCTTCCAGCAGGCCTGAGAGCTTTATCTGCCATTTACGTGGGTTTCCAGCACCATAAAGCTTTGACGGAGACTTGCATTTTGATCCTGGTTGCGAAGCATTCAGTTCCAGCTTTCAAAACCAGGACGCACACTTCACACGACAGTTGGGCCGGTCATTCCGGACCAACCAGTGGGTGGTCATCGACTGGGTGGAAATAGGGATAGCTAGATTTGATCTCACTACAAACTGGTTCCACAGGGCAGGGTAAGACATGTGATGACCTCAAGGGGTACACTATAGTCTCTGGTAAAGACATTTGTTCCCATCCCGGACACATTCCATTGGCTGATTGCGGATCTACCCGTGATAACATTGAGTAGGATTTGTTCCAAGACAGTCGTCCTATAAACAACCCGAGAGAGAACAAAGAGCGGATTGCTCCTGAATACAAGATCACCACATTTGAGATCTGACATCGGTGCCTTGCTGTTGGAAGCTATCAATAGAATTGATTGTCAGTTCAGTGATACGGACAAACCCTTCCAAATAAATGCAACTTTTGATTGGTCCACCATGATTAGACCAAGGTGTCCAGCCTAGGTGGGTTGGGTAGGTATGCACTCAATGGATACTTTCATCCAGACAGTTGCAAGCTTCCCAGTACCACAATATAGCATTGTTGTCAAGCGCAGGGCTGGAAGCCCTCACGAGCGCGGAAATGGGAGAATGGGTACAGTCCAGTACCTGTCCGTGAATTGCGCCGACAATGCAATGCCCACCTAGAATTGACAGAACCAGTATTGAAACACATAATGCATTGACGACCAAGTGCAGTTGACATACAAATCCAGAAATCGAGAACATCACACTGGAACATCGACTTCTACACCGACAGCATTCAACTGCTTTCTCTCCCCACCAACCCTAATCAACCCGGCAACGTCGAAGAGACATCCACCGTCGACGAATTCGCCAAACTGGTCCCATCCCCCCCCACCGCTTCCACAAACGCCTTGGGATGGTACGCCGAACTCGTAAACGCCGTCTGAAACCCGCCACTCCCCGCCGTGCCCAACCGCACCACCTGCTCCGGCGCCCCCGCCGCCGACGCATAGATATTCCAATGATCCACCCCCGTCGCCCCATTCCAACTCATCCAGAAGGTCGTCGGCCCCGCCCCAGCCCCAGCCGCAGGACTATACACCCTCAGCGCGGGGGGCTCGCTGGGCACGGCCGACCAATCCGCCTTATACGCACGGTAATTCATGGAATGCTCGTCGGCCACCGCGGCAAAGAACACGGGGGTGCCGTCCGCGAGATGCTCCGAGAAGGCCGGGGTGCTGCCCCACCCGACGAAGGCATTCCCCGACGACAAGATCTGGCAGCTGCCCTGGCTCCAGGCCCGGATGCCGGGGGCCGGGGCGTCGTAGCGCCGCAGCAGGGTGGAGGCGTTGGTGGTGTGGTCGAGGGCGACGACCATCCCCGCCGAGGTGGCGGAGGTGTTGCGGTAGTTGTCGCTGCCGTTGTCGAAGAGCGACAGCACGGTGGTGGTCGCGTTCTCGGCCAGGAAGCGCGCGTCGTGCTGCGACGAGAAGTTGTAGTTCGTCTGCGTGAACGTCGACTGCTTGCCGCCGAGGCGCCACAGCACTGCGCCCGTGGCGCCGGAGAGCTTGTAGATCCCGCTGGTGTGCCGCGCGGAGATGAGGTAGTCGCCTGCGGCGTTCTTGTCGATCGAGTTGATGTGGAAGTAGTCCCAGGCGGTCGCGTTGCTGGTGCCGTTGCCTACGACCGGGTTCAGGCCGGGAGGCGTGTAGGATTCGGCCGGGGTGATGCCCTGGTCCAGGCTGCTCCACTGGAAGACCACGGCGCCGGTGGCGATCTCGATCTCTTGGAAGACCCCGTCGATCACCCACCCGGGGTTGGCGGGGACGTTGTAGGCTGTTAGGTTCGTCGTGCGCGGCTGGTAGATGGGGATGAGCATGCTCGTGCCGTTGATGACGGCGGATTCGTGCATGTCGCTCATCTCGAGCCCGTTGCCGCTGCGCACCGTGGCCGCCGGGCGGTAGCTGCTGTCCAGGATCTCATGCTGTCCGCGCGCGTAGCCGCCGATCTGCGTGCCTTGGAAGTAGCACAGGTGGTCGGATCCGTTGTAGGCGCAGGCGTGCAGGTCTTGGAAGATGTCGGTGGTGGAGCCGTCGGCGCCGCTCCAGATCAGATTCTGCTGGCATTAGGGCTGGGCTTGGGGGATAGACGGGAGCCGTAGAATCATACAGCATTGGTGTCGTAGATGTACGGCCCCGGTACGTCGCCAAAGTATGGGGCAATGAAGATATACCCTGGGCTAATGAGGCTGTCATTTTTCAAGCTGATCTCGAGGATTGGGGCGCGAATGTCTGGCCGCTGGATAGTCAACCAGATGGTTAGCAGGGGCTTGGAGGGACTACCGGAGGTCAAAGCAACTGACAGATTGGTAGGACGCCCAATTGGCACAGTCCGCCAGACTAGTAGTCAATGCTAGGAGGGAACCCAGTTCTAGCTTCTTCTTCCAATTGGTGCCCATCGTGATGTGTACTGTACAAACCCACTACCTATGCTCTCGTACGGAACCATGCAAAGAGACTACAGAGATTGGCCCAGACAAGGCAGAGAGATGGATTATATGGAAGCCCATGGGCGGAAGGGTCAGTAGATGCTTCACATCGTGCACGTCTGGGTAAAGAGTCGGGTTGGCCATTGATTACATCAAGACTACCGGAACCTGAGTTCTAGCAACGGCTATGCCCCGCTACGATACGGAGGACCAGGTCGCAGTGTATATACGAGAGATCATCTCCTGGAATCGCTGTGAGTCAGGCACGCGTATCACTGGGCCGGCAGAGAATGGAAAAGGACGAACAGCAAGTACCGCTATCTGCTACCGCCTCAAATCTCCAAACCATTTTTGAAGATACTGAGACTTCTAGCCATCTCACCACTATCCTACTTCAAGCCAAAGTGCGCCCAAAAAATGTTGGCACCTAGGGATTCGAGGGTGAAGGAGGGGGGGAGGGGG